TTACATTTTCTTCATATACTTTCCATGTAAACCATGTTTGCTAGTCAAGATTGCATGCTATTTTTGTCCACCATGCCAGCATCTTTTGGCCGTGCTTTGAACTAGAAATGTTCATGTTTTGGGACTGCCTTGTCTCTGTCTTCATGCTTCATGATCAAATAATGCATGCTTTGTATAGCTATAAGTCATTCCATGTGCCTAGTTTCGAGTTTCGGGTTTCATCGCATGCATCGGGTGCCATTTTTCCATGTTTCGAGGCTGTTTAGCATCATATTTCAGTGCTGGAATTTGTGAGTTTGCATGCCATCTTGCATCCCTTGCCATACGTTGTTAGAGGTACATGTTATGCCTTAGGTTCGGTCTTCGGTTTGCGTACATACGTACACGCATTTCGAGAGTCTCATTTTCACCTAATGGCTACTGATGTGAGTGTGGCTGAGGTCCACTCATGTTAGTGTAAGCCCATTATGCATTGTGTATGCCATTTCATTTCATAGCATTGCGTATGCAAGGTTGTATGTTAGAGCATTATGTATGCCTCGTTACATCGTGCATTGTGTGTGTCATTTCATAGCATTGCATATGCTAGGTTGCATGTTAGGATTGCATTCATGCATGTCATGCATATTGCATTGTGCTTGGGATATGAGTTAGCCTAAGCATGGGAAACGAGGGACGTTTCGTACTCCGAGTGACGGAACGTGTCTCAATTCCCGGTCGCCGACACTTCAAATTATCCATGATGGAGTCTAGGCCTTGTTGTGTCCATATGTGTATTCATTTTATATTGAGTCATGCAATTCGACTTCTCGGCCATCATGCATCGAAATACGTGATTGGTGGCACGAGGATCGAGGACTACACTCTCTGAAGAGTAGTCATGCATACATATGTGAAAATACTTTGCCATGCCCCTTTATTGCTCTCCGTTGCAGCATATCAGAAATCAGCAACCTTCCGGAGCTTGGCACGCATCCCAAGAATAATTGCAAACAGAGACAAACCGGGGCATCACAAGGGATTCTCCGCACAAGGAAACCCGAGCATGCATCATTCATCATTTGGAACAGAGCTGAGGCGGTCCATGGATTTGCGTGCCAATTTACTGCTTTTCTAAATTAATTTGTTAATTAATTAGGATTTTGTATTTATTCGGGACTGTATTATTTATTCATTTGGGACTGTATTATTTATTCGGACCCTCTGCGCGAGGGCAATGTTGTAATAAGTGTGCGTGTGTGTGATGTATGTCTTCCAACCCTAATTCTTTCTCCATTTTATTTATCAGCTTATGATGGTTAGATTAGGGCATGTTTCAATTAGTATACAGTATGATAGCATGTTTGCATTCATTCATCTGTCTTGCATGCACCGGGCTCGGCGCATCATACTAACTGTATTTGTATCTCAATTCCAAGTTGAATACTTGTTAGTTGTAGCATTTCGCATGCCATCTTTAGAATAACCGAGCCTTCTATAGTTGCATTTTTGCATGTGTTGCATTAGGCATTTCTGTATAGTTAGGATCATGCATGGATTTCTAATTAGCTTCTGTTTTGGCTTGGAGTACTCGGTAAGTTTTATGCTTTAGCATCCTTACATGCGTGTGAGTGACTGCCATGATAGCATGCTTACCATGAGGCTATATGCTTATATAATATAACTGCCTGAATACCTGTGGGTGAAGGCTGGGTTATTTGAATTGGAACAATTCGTTGACTGTGAGTTTTAAGCCCACTAGATAGTGGCAAAATCATGTTTTCTAAGCCCATCCGAGGGTGGCAAATCCACGTCTTAGCCTACTTGCGGGTAACACCACCAAACCATTTTCAAATAAACAAACATGAAATGTTTTGTTCCAATTCAGGCGACCCAGTCTATACTTGTATGTTGTGCGCATCACATAGTAAATCTAGGCTAATAACTGGAATAAGAACGCATAATGTTTTCAAAAATAGATATCATGGTTAGTAGAGGCCGATCTTTGATCGGGCGAGCGGGGGTGCTCACGAAGTGACCTTCCCCAATCGTACCCAAGTTCCCGAGCCGAGGCAACTTGACACATGGCCTTAGGCAAACGAGTCAGGGTTTCCTAAATTTCCCCAAAATAAAATATTTAGGTGGCGACTCTGTATCTGGCAAAGCAGTCCATGTTTGGCACTTATTTCAAAAAATCTGTTTTCTCAAAATGATTTGCCGGATTTGAACTCTTTGGTTCATATTAAAAACCGTGACAATTTGAGAGTCCGAACTTGTAATGAGCCCAATACAAACAGAACGGGACTCACCCTCCCGAGGCGTTCGGGGACGTCTACAGTTGGACCAAAAGAAAACCGGCCAGTTACTTTTTGCATAAAAATATTTCTATACATATATAATTACAAAATTATTATTTTTGGAAAATGCTTTTGGGGTCCAATTAGAAAAAGGAAAAATTTAGAATTTGGTTACATGAGTTAGAGTTTTTGATAGTGATAAATTTGTCCATATCTAGTAGCTCATGTGGAATATAGTTTGGTGGAAGGAAGTTTGTGACTAATTGTAACAAATGGCCTTACTTGTAATTCTCTACTTTTAGAGGTTTAATTGTAATGTGTTGATGGACATTATTGCAATTAGTGGAAGTTCTATATTATCTATTTAAAAGATAATTAATGAAAAATTGGATAAATTGTATCCTGTATATTTAAGATAAAAGGTACATATTTTATTTTATCCCCACAACTAAAAGATAGAGATCTCTAAGGATCCCACTTACATGCAAACTCTATCATGTGTTGTGTATATATATCAGATATATTTGATACAAAAATTTGCCATCAGAATTTTTAAGGTCTGTAGAAAAATACACACAAAAATAAAAGCAAGAGGGTGCAAGATGAATCACTTTGGAGGCGAGACACTTGGATTGCTTGGTGAGGTATTATCAAATGCTTGGATTGAGGTATTTTAGATTGTATAATCGGGTGGTATTTCTTTCAAAAATTGTTTTTCAAAATAAATTATTTTTCCACAAACTTTCAACGTCAAGCACTGTTGCATGGATAAATGACAAAGAATGACTCGGTAGTATGATACTATCAAATGGCCTATGTCGGGCATAGTCATCCAATAATTAAATCTAATGCTAGATTTGAAGTAGGATAAGATAGAGGTAAGATCATCAACCATTTCTTGTAAATTAAATAGTTGCATATAGAGCACTACATTCGAATGCAGCTCAAGTGTAAGTCTACATTTTTTTCCATTGCCTCCCACATCTAATGCCTTTATAACAATGACAAATTCAGCCTTCTTCCTAAGGTCAAAAGCCCATTTAATTAATACTTGATGACTACTAAAATCTAAAGATAACAAATACATTTATACGACAAATTATTAATAAAACTCAATACAAATTAAAAATAAGAAAAAAACGCATTCATAAAATAACTTTACAGACTTCGTCTATAATGAATTCATGGTTGGGGTCTACTAATAATGCAGTACTTGCATTGTTGCAATGAGTAGAAGCATAATCCTTCCAAGCAAAAAAAATTAAAAAAAAATATATATGAAAAAATAAAACTGGAAATACATGATAGTGAGTAGTCGAACATATTAAAAAAATTTTGCCTTGGGTTACTAGAATTGTATCTTTTATTTAGCAGTTGGTCACTAGACATATATTTCTTGTTTGGCAATGTGATGCCAGACTATTTTATTTTGTTCAATTTCGAAACACCGAACAAAAGTTCTTTCGAAACACCGAACAAAAGTCGAAGAACAGTCTAGAAAAACGAAACAAAAACCTATCAAACAAATAAAAAAAACTCATCATTTTACTTTTTGGATGTTTCTTTACCACCGTTTCTTCATCTATTGCTTTATTCTATGATCAAAATACTATGATTCTCACTTTTTGAAAAAAAAAAATGTGTAAAAGAGAAGAAAAATTGAGAAAAGAAGAAGAGGAGTAGTGATTAACAACAAAGGGGCGTAATGAGATAATAAAATATATTTAATTTTACTGTTTTGTCCTTAAAAGTAATTTCACACATGGGTAAAATTGAAAATATATATATATATATATATATATATATACATCTCATATGGATGGTGTAAAGAGTTAAAGTAATGGTGTAAGTAGAATCACTCTAATTTTTGCGGGATAAAAGTGAGTTCTTCAAATGTGAAATTACACATTTGGACAATTCGCACTATAAAGTTTTTGAATATTCCCTCATTTTGAAATAAATCCCACATTACGAATAAGAATGTAACACTCTAATAACATAACACTCTAATGTAACACACTAAAAAACTCGTGTACTTTTTCCAAACGTAACACTTTAATGTAACACACTCCAATGTAACACACAAAAACAAAACTCCCTAGTGTATTTTTTCCAAACGTAACACTCCAATCAATGTAATCACAAACGTAACACTCCAATATTGAGATTCAAATGAAACCAAAAGGGTCAGTTGGGTTTTAATTAATTAGTTTGTTTTATTTATTTTGTAAAGAGTATAAGTGTGACTAGTGGGAGTGTTGGCTAAAATGAAGGCATAATCTTACATGTTCATGCTATGTATCTAAACAATGGTTTGCACTTAGACAAATACTATATGATAACCAAAAGGTGTCATATGAGTTGATTTGGAGGCCAAAAGAAATATTGGGAGCCATAAATAAATTTAATTTTTCTAAAAGAAAAATAAAAATGGTAACATGAGATGATATTATGATGGATAGTAGCTATCCACCCATTCAAGGTATGTTCACTTATTTCAAAAGAAATTTTTGTACATGCAAGATTGGTTTCCCAATGCTCACTATGAATGTTTTAAATATAAGTGTTATATTTGGGGGTTTCATAAATTGCTTGAATGAAATTCTAGTGAGCATTACCATAGTAGATTCAAAATCCCGCATCCTATGGATTTATATACAACGCAGTACTTATATTCTTCTGGCACATGTTTTTATTTATTTATTTATTTTTAATTTTTAATATATGCAGTTCAATATGACCAACTTTAATCCTTTGTCCAAAATTCTTGATGATAATCGTTTGGCTGGACTAAACTATATGGAATGGAAGAGAAATTTAACAATTGTCCTCACTGCTGAAAAGCTGAACTATGTCCTAACCACTGATCCACCTATGCTCCTTGAGGCAGATGCCACTGATGAACAACATGAAGATACTGGGAAATGGCATGAGGCGGATGATGTTGCAAAATGCTACATACTGGCCTCAATGACCAATGTGTTGCAAAAGCAGCATGAGGGTGTTCCTACTGCAAAAGACATAATGGTTAATTTGAAAGAAATGTTTGGAGAACAGAGCAGAAGTGCACGCCAAATTGCCATGAAAGGTTTGATGTCCACCAAAATGGTGGAAGGTATTCCAGTACGGGAACATGTTTTGAAAATGATATCTTTTATTAACATACTTGAAACTTTGGGTGCAGATATTGATGGTGAAACTAAAATTGATGGGATCCTTTCATCTTTACCAGATTCTTATAATCAATTTATTTTGAATTACAATATGAATAAGATGATTGTTACACCATTAGAGCTGCTCAATATGTTGCAAGTAGCAGAGGATCTTATTAAAAAGAGCCAACCCACTGTGATGATGGGTGAGAAGGAAAGTCCTAGAAAATTCAAGCCTAAGGGAAAGAATAATTTTAATAAAGAATCTATAGGCTCTAAGTTCTCTAGAAAAACACAAGGCGTTTTTAAAAAGGGTATAGACAAAAAAGAAAGCAAAGGAAATTGTTTCCATTGTGGAAAGCTTGGCCATTGGAAGAGAAACTACCGCTATTATTTGGCAACACTGAAAAAGAACAAGCCTTCGGAAGGGGTTCAAGGAGACCAGAAGGCTTAATGAAGGGGAGATGCTAATAAAGTTGGAAACAAGTGCAACAGTTGCTGCAATGTCCATAAGAACTTTTTATTTGGAATCATCATAAGACTTTAGTTTTAGAAGATTGTCTATTTGTGCCAGATATCTATAGAAATTTACTTTTTGTTTCAAAGTTAATTTCGTTGGGATATTATTTTTTCATTTTCTTCAAAAGTTACTATTAAGCATAATTAAAATTTGTGGTTTTTGGCATTTATTTAATTATCTGTGTTGAGAATGATATATTCACTGGTATGTTACCCTTAAAAGAAAAATGGATATTAATCAAATTTACATGTGGCACTTGATATTTGGTCATATCAATTTAGAGTGCCTAAATAGATTGGTCAAGGATGGGCTTTTAGATTTTTTTGAAAATTAAGCCTTATCCAATTTGTGAGCCCTGCTTACAAGGAAAAATGATTAAAATTCCATTTCTAGGAAAAGGAATTAGAGCCACAGAAGCTTTGGGATTAATACACATAGATGGTTGTGGTCCAATTGTTAGGTTTTTTCTTGGCAATCCCGTTTGAACAAAACTCATTTCAGTTATACTTATTTTCGCACTTTTTATTTTAGTGAGACTATGAGTGTTTAAATGCGAATCCAATCCGAATTATGCCTTGCAGAGAAGTTTGTGATGTTAATTCTTTCAAGATTGCCACTTCACTAATTATGACAGGGATCGAGCTGCCCAGTCAGCTAGCGGGGGTCCAGGGGGTAGCGCCCCTGAAGCAAAATGCAAAAAATGCATTCAAAGTTGCCTCCCCGCTCGAGCGTCCATTCCCCCGCTCGAGCGGAGAATGGTGATTTCCAGAAGTATACGTGTCTGCAAAAATACTGTGATCCGTGTTTTCATGCTCGAGCGTCGAAATCCCTGCTCAAGTGTACATCCTGGTTTGGAGCACATCATATAGTGTCCCCGCTCGAGCGTCAATTCCTACGCTCGAGCGAACCTAGCGATTTCAGATTCTATAGATTCGCAAGTTGCTCCAAATCTAGGATTACTTCTCCAGATCTTCTTCTTGGGTTCTAGGGTTTATATCTGGGGATATTTTGCTAATTTTCTTTGATGTTTTGATTGAGTATTCAACTCATGGTTTAAAGAGTATACATCAAAGGATTATTTGTTTGTTCTACACAAAAGAGAGAGTTGTTCTTTGGTGGATTCTGAAAAATTCGAGCCTGAAACTTTGGTGGATTCTAGAGTGGCTCATCGTCAAGACAATTCCGAAGTGAAGACGGGGTTAGAAGAGGCACATAGGGGTTGGTTCAATTCGGGCGTGGATTTGCTAGGTAATTAAGAGTATACCTGTGTAATTCCTTTGTGTCTTTTTAGTGGATTGTTTTGTTTTATCACAATTGGAGGTGTCTAATTGTGGTTTTTCCAAGTAAAATCGTTGTGTCGATTTGTCTTGATTATTTGATTGGGATTGTTTTATACTGCTTAAAATTGATGCATAATCACAAATCAACATCTAGGAGATTTCTAGATTTTTCACCAATAAATCACATAGCAAGAGGTGATTTTTACTATTTTATTTCATTCACTGATGATTATTCTAGGTGTAGTTATTTGTACCTAATAAGTCTGAATCCTTTGAAAAGTTCAAGGAATTTTGTAGTGAAGTAGAAAAGCAACTTGGAAAAAAGTATCAAAGCTCTTCGATCAGATCGTGGGGAGAATAACTTTTAGATGATTTTCGAAATTATTTAAAAGAGAATGGTAAATACATGTGTAATTGGTTTTGAGTGCAAGTGGGAGAATGTTAGTATTTGTGCCCTCAAAAACCAATTTGTTGACTTTATTAATTGATTATATAAATTGCTAGGCATTTTATTTTGCATTTTGTGTATTATTATGAGTAATGTTATATTTAATGTTACATATGATGTGAACATAAGGTCCCTCGGGTAACATTGTAGAAAAACATGCTAATGGTTAATGAACCAAAAGCTGGGAGTTATGATTTTTCGGTGCCTTATAGACCTAATTAATGTTCTAGGCTATGGGTGTTGATTGGGCGTCGCACTACTATGGCCTACACCTGTTTGTTGCTATATGATAGAATGATTAACTCCATTATTGAGGTAGTGACCTTAGGCAAATAGGTGGTGGTTATGCAATAAGTACATGCATTGAACAAGATCGGTTTTGAGAACACCTATGGAATGATTTAAAAGGTAGTTCTATTATAATACACTTATTTTCCTTTGACCTGAGAGACTTGTATAAATTAATTAACTATTCATTTAACTTTGATACTGTCAATCGGTGACATCGAACCAAAGGCTATACACGGACATATTGGGTTATGTGAGTGGTAATTGATTTATATAGGTGCTTAACATGGAATCCACCATTCTTCAAGTAAGAAAGTATATTCAAGCAATTTTTCCTATTAACGTTGGACCAAAAGAAAACCGGCCAGTTACTTTTTCATAAAAATATTTCTATATATATATAATTACAAAAGTACTATTTTTGAAAAATGCTTTTGGGGTCCAATTAGAAAAAGGAAAAATTTAGAATTTGGTTACATGAGTTAGGGTTTTTGATAGTGATAAATTTGTCCATATCTAGTAGCTCATGTGGAATATAATTTTGTGGAAGGAAGTTTGTGACTAATTGTAACAAATGGCCTCACTTGTAATTCTCTACTTTTAGGGGTTTAATTGTAATGTGTTGATGAACATTATTGCAATTAGTGGAAGTTCTATATTATCTATTTAAAAGATAATTAATGAAAAATTGGATAAATTGTATCCTGTATATTTAAGATAAAAGGTACATATTTTATTTTATCCCCACAACTAAAAGATAAAGATCTCTAAGGATCCCACCTACATGCAAACTCTATCATGTGTTGTGTATATATATCAGATGTATTTGATACAAAAATTTGCCATCAGAATTTTTAAGGTCTGTAGAAAAATACACACAAAAATAAAAGCAAGAGGGTACAAGATGAATCACTTTGGAGGCGAGACACTTGGATTGCTTGGTGAGGTATTATCAAATGCTTGGATTAAGGTATTTTAGATTGTGTAATCGGGTGGTATTTCTTTGAAAAATTGTTTTTCAAAATAAATTATTTTTCCGCAAACTTTCAACAAGCACTGTTGTATGGATAAATGACAAAGAATGACTCGGTAGTATGATACTATCAAATGGCCTATGTCGGACATAGTCATCCAATAATTAAATCTAAGGCTAGATTCGAAGTAGGATAAGATAGAGGTAAGATCATCAATCATTTCTTGTAAATTAAATAGTTGCATATAGAGCACTACATTCGAATGCAGCTCGAGTGTAAGTCTTTATTTTTTTCCATTGCCTCCCACATCTAATGCCTTTATAACAATGACAAATTCAGCCTTCTTCCTAAGGTCAAAAGCCCATTTAATTAATACTTGATGACTACTAAAATCTAAAGATAATAAATACATTTATACGACAAATTATTAATAAAACTCAATACAAATTAAAAATAAGAAAAAAACGCATTCATAAAATAACTTTACAGACTTCGTCTATAATGAATTCGTGGTTGGAGTCTACTAATAATGCAGTACTTGCATTGTTGCAATGAGTAGAAGCATAATCCTTCTAAGCAAAAAAATTAAAAAAAAATATAAAAAAATAAAACTGGAAATACACGATAGTGAGTAGCCGAACATATTAAAAAAATTCTGCCTTGGGTTACTAGAATTGTATCTTTTATTCAGCAGTTGGTCACTAGACATATATTTCTTGTTTGGCAATGTGATGCCAGACTATTTTATTTTGTTCAATTTCGAAACACCGAACAAAGTTCTTTTGAAACACCGAACAAAAGTCGAAGAACAGTCTAGAAAAACGAAACAAAAACCTACCAAACAAATAAAAAAACTCATCATTTTACTTTTTGGATGTTTCTTTACCACCGTTTCTTCATCCATTGCTTTATTCTATGAACAAAATACTATGATTTTCACTTTTTGAAAAAAAAAATGTGTAAAAGAGAAGAAAAATTGAGAAAGGAAGAAGAGGAGTAGTGATTGACAACTAAGGGGCGTAATGAGATAATAAAATATATTTAATTTTACTGTTTTGTCCTTAAAAGTAATTTCACACATGGGTAAAATTGAAAAAAAAAATATATATATATATATATATAAACATCTTATATGGAGGGTGTAAAGAGTTAAAGTAATGGTGTAAGTACAATCACTCTAATTTTTGCGGGATAAAAGTGGGTTTCTTCAAATGTGAAATTACACATTTGGACAATTCGCACTATAAAGTTTTTGGATATTCCCTCATTTTGAAACAAATCCCACATTACGAACAAGAATGTAACACTCTAATAACATAACACTCCAATGTAACATACTAAAAAACTCGTGTACTTTTTCCAAACGTAACACTTTAATGTAACACACTCCAATGTTGCACACAAAAAAAAAAAAAACTTCCTAGTGTGTTTTTTCCAAACGTAACACTCCAATGAATGTAATCACAAACGTAACACTCCAATATAACACACATAAAAATACAAAAAATATTAAAAAATTTCTTATTGTAGTTTTGCCCAAATGTGATACTTCAATTAATATAACACACAAAAAGATAAAGCCGTAATCTTTAACATCATCAAATTAAATAAAATATACCTTATCAATTAAAAAGGATTATATGATTCATAAGAAAAAACACAGGACTAAGTGGAAAAGCATTATCTCATATGAGATTTATTAATAATTTTTCCTTGAATCTTTTTATAAATATTATATGATTTTTGTTGTGAACAGATTACGTAAAATCGAGGTTACAAACCTAATCAAACTGTGTTTAAATAGTTTTGTTCGGATTGATTTTATGATTTTAATAATTTGGTTTGGTTCTAATTTTTATATAACCATATACAATAGATTAATCTTGGTTTTATTTCAAACCAAACCAAATCAGATCATAGTCAGCTCTAACAAATATCTATCAT